AAAAATAATATTTTTAAAAACCACGTTTTTGTAGTGGAGAATAATAATTAAAAAAAATTGAGAAACGAAAAACGTGGGGTGCATGAAATACATAACAGTACATATACACATACATATACACATTTTCTTACTCATACACATGCACAGCCACATATACATCCACATACATATACATCCACACATATATGCATATGCACAAACATATTCCACATCCACATTCAGATACAATTACAATTACAGATATACATACACATATTCTCAAGAGCACATATACACGCACTAATATAACATTACTGTTATGTATTTCATGCTCCCCACGTTTTTCGTTTTTCAAATTTTTTTTAATTATTATTCTCCACTACAAAAACGTGGTTTTTAAAAATATTATTTTTTATTTTGAATTTTTTTTAAACTAAATTTAGTTTTAGTATAACTTTTCATCCAAACTAATGTTTTGGTCAAATTGTTTTGACTCAATTTTAGTTTTAGTTTCCTTAGTTAGTTTTAGTAAATTTAGTTTTAGTAAAACTTTTAATCAATCCAAACTAATGTTTTAGTAAAATTATTTTGACTCAATTTTAGTTTTAGTTTTTTCAGTTAGTTTTAGTAAATTTAGTTTTAGTACCAATCCAAACTAATGTTTTAGTCAAATTGTCTTGACTCAATTTTCAAAATAATCGAGTAAAAACAAAGACTTTAAATAAAATTGTTTGATTTATGTCAAATGATTAATTTTTAGACCGTATAATATTTCCAATACTTCTAAATATATATACTTCTAAACGTAAGAAATAATTCGATTTTTTTTTAAAACATCCGAAATCGATGTCCACCAGCTTCCAGTATTCAAAATAAAAAAATGTTTTTAGCCTTCTTATTAGCTTATTCAATGAACAAGGCTTGAACAGGTAAAATAAATAAATAGATATACATGTCAATGTGATTCTATGGAAGTTGAGCTGGATTAGTGAAGATATTAAAAAAAGAAAGAAAGAACCACTTTATCATAAGACTATTTCATGTATTAAATTTCATTTTTAATAGCTGAAGTCTTAATTATTTATTTTAGCATTGCTAACATCTACAACTAAAATTAATTAACAACGCATTACTTTGTTATTTCCATTTAACTTGCTAACGTTACTTAATTTAGACAAATAAGTCTACATAATTTATTTCGGAAGAGGGAATATTTTTTTGCAAATTTACTTTTCATAATTTGTTTAAAAAATTTTTTTAAAGTGTTTTAAACTTATTTCAGCTGCAAACATCAGTTAAACGCCAGTAGTTAGCAGCTTCGTGACCACAGCATGGTTTCCATTCGAAGTAGTGAAAGTTTTGATTTTTCGAAATCGTTCTAGCATTTTTTAAGATTAAAGTTGAACAAAATAAAAGCAATCAAACCTTATTAAAGAAAACTCTCTTTTAATTGACAACTTTGATAATAATTTTTTCTTTACATGGTATTCGCTCATTTGAAAAGTGAATCCCAAAAACATCTGTTTAAAACCAATGCTGATTCAGACTATTTTCGAAATCGCGGCACCTCAGTGGAACAAAGCTATTTCATAATGATTTTTTATCAGTTTCTTCTCCATTATCTTCCGACTTGAACGGGAAAGATCTTACTTAAAAACTGCTTGAGATTAAATAAGATAGGAAATTATCGAACGTGTAGTAATTATCTTTATTGTTTTCTTAAAAATAAAATAAATAATAATAGTGCAACTGCACAATGAGTATCGGTCTCTGAAAATACTCCTCTTCAGAGGGCACGTTTGGTACAAAGGGCACTTTTTAACGAGGACCTAAACCTAATTTAACCAGCTTCCTCAAAAAGAACAAAACGTACTTTATTCATCCACTCAATAAGATGTCAATACAATAGAATCCAATAGAATCAAATAGATACAATAGAATCAAATAGATGTTAATACAGTTTTTTTCAAACATTAACTCATTAATTAAATAGGTATGAGCAGAAAACGACATGGAATTTTCTGATTGATTAAGCGTTAGTCATTGTTTAAAATTTCACTATAAGCGATTCAGTTTTTCACATATTTTAAAGAAAACATCAGTGATAATTTCTAACTTATACCTCTATTTGAACAAAAAAAATAGTTTATTGAGCATATTTAAATATTTAGTTCTTTTATATACGCTGCGTCAGTTGTAGTTCATTTACGTCGCACTAGAGCTACACAATGGGCTATTGGCGACGGTCTGGGAAATATCCCTGAGGATGATCCGAAGACATGCCATTACAATTTTGATCCTCTGCAGAGGGAAGGGCACCCCCGCTTTGGTAGCCCGACTACCTGCACGCGAAGTCGAGCACTTTACGGTAGAATAGTTAAAAGAGGACCAATACCGCACACCCTCGGTCCTTACGCAGACTGATCCAAGTTTTCACCCACCCGACCGCAGCCAGTAATGCTTGACTTCGGTGCTCTGTCTCTGATAATTTCAATAAAGAACATCACGTGGTAGCACGTGTGGGCCACGTCATAATGACATAAGTAGGAATTGTTTTTGTATTTGTTTTTGTATTTGTATTTGTAGGAATTGTTTTTGTATTTCTTGTTAAAAAGAAAAGAAAGAAAACTTCTGTTAAAGAATCCTTGAGAGCGATCTCTGCTCTAAGAATATTAATTAGCAAAGATACTGCAGTTGGTTATCAAGCATTCTTACAGAAATTTTACTACCATGTTTTTAGTTTCTTGAGGATGCGGGTTAAAGATCGAAATGAAACTCCGAGGTTTAAATTTTAAAAGCAACAAGTCGAAATGCTTCCAAGTTTATGATTTGAACGGTAATAAAAGCAAGCTCAAAGTTATGAATTTTATTTCTTTTTCAAAATTGTTTTGCTGGTTTTTTGAAGATTTGCGCTTGAATTTTCAAAATTCGAGATTTTGGCAAATTGCCTTAAAGTTCACATATGGCAGAGAAATGAAATTTTAGAGTGATTAAATGTATTAAAAAATATTTAATTAGTACACCAAAAATTATTAATAGAGGGCTTTTGTAACCAGGGATATGTAATAAGATCATCTTTATAAAAAATAAAGAAAATTGCGAAATCTAAGAAGAAACGAAAGACTCATTTTAAGTAAAATATCAAATAGGTTATGAACTAGATGGGTAAAATATACCTGATCATGAAATTCATTTAAAAATAACTATTTAGAAATAACTATATATAAAACAAGAAATAGTCTTATTCAAAAATTATTGCATTTAATGAGATTTCATAACTTTTATGATTTTTCAAGAAAACAACACAATTAACTAATAAGTGCAAATTTAGCTGTAAAATTCATTATATGGTGTGTTATTATTGCGTACACTCTAAGACGATACTGATTTTCCTCGTAGACTGTGACAAAAAAAAATAACATTTTAAATATGAAACCCCTTCATGAAGTAGATAATTTTTTAATTAAATATGATAACACAAATAACTAACGAGTGTCAATTTAGTTTCAAAATTCATTCATATTGTGTCATTGCGTACACTTTGTTACGATACTGAGTTTCCAAGACTGTGACAAAAAAAAAAGAACATTTTAAATATGAAACCCCTTCATGAAGTAGATCATTTTTTAATTAAATATGCTGCTTTCCGCCGTCTTACAAGAAACGATGAAGAAAATATCAAAAATGTGGCACGTGAGGAAAAAAAAAAATTTCAGTTCTAAACACCTTGTTAAAAGGTTTTAAAATAAGAGAAGTGGCGGAAAGACTAACAGCATGAATAAAAAGAAAACATACAGCTGAAATACAACATCTTTTGATATGATAGCTTACCAGTCCGCCTCCGATAATAGAAACCTTTAAGTCCTTGGGATCTCTCATTTTTGTCTCCTTGCATACACCTGACTGTTTTGAGAAAGCATTTTCTGATGTTGTAACAACACCTTCCATTCTCTCACCGCAAGCGCTCGTTTGGCGTCGAACACTTTATCTTTTGGAACAATTATATCGTTCGTTTCTTATAGAAATTGTTTTGGATATGGATAAGAAAGAAAAAAACGAAGGAAAGAAAGAAAATTAATAAGTTTTATTTATTGCGCATAAGCTGCAAGTAAATAGAACTCATAAAATAAGTTAAAAATATAGGGTAAATATTCTCTCATGGAAAATAATCTCTCTCTCTCTCTCTCTCTCTCTCTATATATATATATATATATATATATATATATATATA